CTAAACCCTAAACCCTAAACTAAACCCTAAGCCCGAAATCCTAAACACAACACCCTGACTAACCTTTTTTCGAGAGCAGGCCCTACTCAAAGAGTTGGCCGAGCAGAAGGCAGCTCGGGACTTCCGAGTCGCTGGGGCTTCTGCGTTTTCCTTAGAAAAGGTTCAAAGGTTTAGGGTTTAGGGTTTAGGGTTTAGGGTTTAGGGTTTAGGGTTTAGGGTTTAGGGTTTAGGGCTTAGTAGCAAGATAATGTAGCAGCATATTCTCTTATAGTAAAGAGAATATTATCCGTTATGATATTACATAGCAATATAAGCATGTCATGTGTGTGGATAGGCCAGCTGGGGAGCTGATTGCGCCTTGTTCCCCAATGACTTCATGCACTCTCTTCACCAGAACTGTCAACTCCTGGATCGCCGTACCCTATAGAATCCCTTAAAGGGTATATACAAATGAATGCACGGCCCTACTCCCCTCCTTCCCTTTCTCAGAAAGCAGGGGGTTTAGGCCCATACTCCCCAGACCCAAACACCCAGCAGGCCACCATGGCCGACCTCGCCACCAAGACGCAGAAGAAGCATCTCGGACAATTGTGCACGCAGTAGGTGTGCCTAGGTACCCTAGACCTGAAATCCTAAACCCCAAGGCCTAAACCCTAAACCCTAAATCCTAAACCGAAGCATCCTTCAGCCTTCTTGCTTTCCAATGCCATGTAGATGCGAGATACGGGATGCTCTTCCACTTTTGAGTTCTCTTATTGTTGGTTCGTAGGGAATGAGGGAATGAGGTACCCTAGAAAATCCCTTAAAGGGTATATAATAGAAAAAACATAGGTAGGGGACATAGGGTACCCTATATCATCCCTTAAACGGTTATATATATATATATTTATCTATACATATATGTATATATATATATAGGAAGAGGTAGGGTACCTGATTCCCTCATTCCCCACTAAGCAAGAGTGAGTTCTCTGACGGCGGCGGGGCCGAGGCTCGTGGCAGCTGCTGAGGATGCCCGTCTGCTTTTTAAGGGTTCATAGGGTTTAGGGTTTAGGGTTTAGGGTTTAGGGATGAGGGACTAGGGATTGAGGGAGGCTACTGCGACGGCTCCAACAAGACGGGATTTTTCAGTTCGGGGTTTAGGGTTTAGGGTTTAGGGGTCTAGGGGTTTAGGGTTTATGGGTTTAGGGTTTAGGGTTGCAGGTTTAGGGTTTTTAGGGTTTGGTTTGCAGGGTTTACAGATGTTTCTAGGCTTTATGGATGCTTAGAGATGTTTATAGGGCTTATAGGGGTTATGGATGTTTATAGGGCTTATAGGGCTTGTAGGGCTTGTGTGGTGTATGTGGTTATAAGGCTTGATAGGGTTTATAGGGTTCTTAGGGTTTTTAGGGTTTTTTTCGGTTTTTTTGATTTAGGGATTAGGGTTCCTGCTTTGATTTCAGCATTTGCCCGGGAGTCTATCGGGTTGATTGCACAAGCACGTACATCGGCCTAAAAGCTGGAAGTATGGTGTCCCCCACAGCAGCAGTTTAGGTTCTAGGAGGTCTCGGACACAATGCTGCCGTAAACCAGAAAAGCCCTGAGAACTTTTGACATCCTTTGAACTGCGGCGTTTGAAGCTGCCGGACATCTGGGGCTTCCAAGTTGCGGTTTCCAGGCTCGTCTTGCTGTGTAAGTCTTGACTCGTCAAGGGCTGTACGGAGCCTACAGGCTTGTGAAATCCAGCCGCGCAGGCGAGGGCAAGGCAGGCTACAATGTGGGTATCAGGCAGCTGATGCACCAGTTGGGGTTTTGTTTCCTAAGCAGTCGCCGGCATGCCAAGCCATATCAACCCAGCTTCAAGCAAGTTGCCTGTTGCGCCTTCAGGGCCTTGCGCGTGCAAGCTCTTGTGCTCCTGGGGCGCCTTCGCTCTTTCTCTTTACGCGCAGCATCGAGGCGAAACGTCGGATGTCTTGGCTCTTGGGGCATGCAACTCACGCCGGCGCGACATTCGATGTTCGCGTCGAGCCCTTCATGAAGCATCCCCCCAAATTTCAAATAGACCGAAGCCCCCATCCGCATCCCTCGGGGGGGAGCTGCGGAGGAGAAGCGCGACTTGCGGCGTGAGCTGGAGCTCGTGAAGACTCCAAGGCCGGAGTGAGCAGCGATTGAAGACACTTGGGGCTTTGTCGGGGGCCCCGGGGGTGAGCTTCAATTACTCGTAGTTCTCTTGAGAAAACTTGGGAAAACGGTATAGGCTTATAGGGTACAAATTTCTATCCGAAAGAGGATCAGGGTTTAGGATTTCGGGTTCGAGACAGCCTGTATATTGGAGCACCTAAACCCTAAACCCTAAAGCCTAAACCCCGTTTGCAGCCGAAAGAAAAAGACAACGCTCAGAGTGTGCCGCTAGCCCTGACCATCTTACGATACGAGCCAAAGCAGGGTTCTAAGGCAGCAAACTGTGCGTGAAGCCGAAAGGCCACACACCGGTCAAAGAGAGCTGCATTCCAGCCTAAACCCCAAACCCGAAACCCGAAACCCCAAACCCCAAACCCTAAACCCTAAACCCTAAACCCTAAACCCTAAACCCCACATGCCCCCCCCCCCCCCCCCGGCCCCCCGGCAGAGCTAGATCTTCGCCTCTGCTGGCAGGAAGCCATCGTCCTGGTGGTGAGAATCGCTTCCCACTATGGGGGTTTCCGAAAATCTGGTTTAGGGTTGAGGGTTTAGGGTTTCCCATAGATAGGATTATGTAGTATTTCGGGCTTTCTTTGGGGTACCCCTGCTTGGTGAAATCCCCATAATTATGTGTTTAGCAAAGCCTGAGGTGTACATATGCGCAGAGTTTCCTCAGGCGGGTAACTTGAACCTCTGGTTGACGTGAGGGCGATCCTTGCAGCAAGCAATCAATGTTGCAGTGTTGGCAATACCTACACGTTTCATGAAACCCTAGACCCTAAACCCTAAACCCGGAGCCAATAGAACCTCAGGATCTTGCCAGTCAAAATGATTGTTTCAGATCCGTGGAACTCAGCCCCATCGTGCGGCAACCCTGGACACATTGAAGTGCCTCAATTGCTTGCAAGGCGTCCACTAAAAGGATCCTCTGAAGGATTTCAGCCCGAAGAGGCCGTCAGCACACACCCGTTTCGCATATATAAGGGTTGCAGTTGACTGTAGTCGCAGGCTGCCAGTGTCTGTGCTTGCGGCGGCTCGATTGTCTTGTTTGTTTATGTGCCTCTTGGCTAGCTTGCTTGTGTGTTTCTTTTTGTGCTTGCGTCGTTGAGTGCGTGCCTGTTTGTGTTCTGTCCGTGCTGCTTGTGGGTTATTTTTTTCCCTCTGCGTTCTTCAATAAGTTTGCGGAGACCAAACTTGAAGTTGTTTTGAGGTGCGTCAGGTTGACCTGTGCTAAGCTCGCAAGCCAAGCTCGGCGCGCAAGTACATGTATTGGGATTTTCCTCTTTATACTAACAGTCTTTAAAAGGCACTATAGTACCCCCCCCCCAATATATTCCCCATTAAGGACTGTTAGTATAAAGAGGAACATTCCAATACATGTAATGTATGATGTCAGGGCAGGGGTCTGCATGCGGGGAGCTAAGAAATCCAGCGTTTATTGCTGAAACGGGGGGTGTGAGTTCCGCAAGGAACAAGACGCAGAGCTCCGCAGAGAGTTGCACCTCAGGGGGTCTCTGCTAGAGCAGAAGCAGGCAAAGACCAGAGGGCATTGAGGGCATTGAGGGCAGTGAGCGAGACTTGGTACTATGTGCACTTGGCAGTGAAGGCTCGGTGCTTATCCGCAAGTGAGATTGTGAAGCAAGTCTATATACCACAATAGAACCAATGCTTTGTCATTTTGTAGGTGGCTAGCAAAAGAGCTTAGGCCATCGCACAACCGAGTTCCCACATCCTCGAACCCATGCCACGAGAACTGCGGTCATTCTTCACATCGGGGTCGGGTAGAGAACGGTGCGCACCTTTGGTACCCTGCAGCTGTCGACGGAGCTTCCCGACCGGGTTTTTCCACTGCACGGCTGTGACCCAGGGCCTTTGCTGCTTGAAATTCTCAAGTCCTCTACTACATCGAGCTTATGAGCTTGCTCCGAGTTTGCGCAATTGGCAAATGGGCCCCTGGGGCAATTCAGTTCATCGCGATGAGCGAGTGGTGACTTATGTGACATGATCCCTGCAGCTCTAGCTCCCCTCACATGCCCGGCGCTCCGAGCGGTTTTTAGCGGTTGTTTGGTTGGTTTCATCCGAGTGTGATGGAGGGGCTTTGCGTTGACGGGCGTACCAAAACCTTCCCTGTTTGGCTCTTTTTGTGTTAGGCATGGAATCAAGGCCCCAGTATGTGGGTGCTCCAAGACAGTGAGCTCCTGCGTTGTGTGTTGCGTTGCTCGACGCGAATGGTTTGGCAAGTAGGAGTGGACAGGGCAAGTAAGTCGTGAAACCAGGCTCGGTGAAGACGCATATCCTCAAAGGCCTCCTAGCATTCGGCTTCCTCCCTTACCTTTGGATAAGTTGAGACTACAGTCCTTTCTTGAAGCGCAGTGGTGGAAAGGCAGGTGCAGGAGCTTGGTGCGAAGCACCGCCTCATCTGTAGACCCCCCCCCCCCTGCAGTGATGCATAGTTGTACTGTACAGTAGCCTGCCAAGACAGAGCTTTTGTTGCAGGGGGTTACATCTTCGATGAGTGCTGTCTCACCTTTCTACCTCCTTTCGTATCCGGTGCCAGGCCAACTTGGTGAGAGGGAGCCGAGAAAAAGGTAGTGGCAAGCCTCGGTTCCTCGGAGGGTGAGGATTTTGCAATGGCTTACGGAAGCTCAGGGGTACCCCTAAACCCTAAACCCTAAACCCTAAACCCTAAACCCAAAACCCTAAACCCTAAACCCGCCATGAATCATGGATCTTCGGGGTGATCTCTGGGCTTGCTTGGGGCCTATCCTTGGGACGAAGCCTTGACGGGAATTGTGTCTCTTCCACATTGGACACTGTGTTGGCAGGATTTCTGCTATGCCATGGGCGCTCTTTCGAAGCAAATCTGGTCTGGCACGGCTCCGATTGCGAAGGATTGCCTCACAGTCCTCACCAACTCCTTTCAACAGCTTCCTGTCAGCTCTTGCCGCGAGATGCTTCTGGAACAGGCTGGCAGTCGTCAGGTTGAGTACAAGCGAGTGGCACAAGGGGAGGTGGGCATTGCAGCGGCCACACTGACGCACGTCATGTGCGAGCTGCTCCCAACGTCCTGTCACGAAAGCTCTGTGCTGCTCATGGATGAGAATGTTGTTGCCGCTACTTCCTTGGTAGATGCAGTACTGGAAGCAGCGCCGCCGTACCTCCGCGACGACCTATTTGGCGAATTCCCTCGGATGCTGCAGCCGTCGCAGCTGTGCCTCGTCGCTGGCGGGCGAGGGGCGAGGTCCGATCTGCACATCGATCCGCTGCCACTGGTTGCTCGTCGGTACGTTTTCTCTTGGGTTCAGTTGCTGCCAGGAAGAATCAGGGGAAGAATCAGCGGAAGAATACGGGAAATCCAAGAAGCTCCCAACAGCATTGCCTTTCTCGGCCCTTTCGAGGTCGTGGACCGGCTGGAATTGTTTGCTCGAAGGGAGAAAGGCCTGGCGATTCTACCCCGACACGCCGCAGAATACCGAAGCGTTTCGGCCTCTGGGCCGGCCCTTTGGCATAGGTGGCTCGTTCAGCGATAACCCTGACACTGTGGCCACATACGCGTGGCTTCAGGTGGCCTGCTAGGGCAGTGCTATTGTAGACACTGTTCTTAGGTCTTTAGTGCTCGTTCTTGTGCAAGCCGATGATATCTTGCAAGACCAGCCAAGGCAAAGGAGGCGCAGGGAGCGCACAGCTCTGCACCATTGGAACCGGCTGGCGAAGCGAGGTGGACCTCTTCGCGCAATTGACCACCCACAGCCGCCTCAACGACAAGGTCCCTGATGGCTCGGCATCGTTCCAGGCAGACTTCGGAAGATTTCCGCATGCACGAGGCTGCACGGTCTGCCTGGATCACGTGCAGGAGCTTGTGGGGGATTGTGGATTTTGCCAAAACCGACGGCTTTGTTTTCTTTGCTTCTTGATCCTAAGCATGGTAGTACACGGGGCCCTGAACTTCTCTGAGCACATTTCCGGTACGGGTATCTCCCAAAAAAGGGGTACCCCTTTTATACCCCAAATAGACTGGAATCCCCTTAAAGGAACCCCCCCCCCCCCCCCACCACCCATGTTCGACAGTTCAGAGCTCTCGAAACCGGTGTTTCAGGAAGCTGGCGAGACACTGATCTTTCCAGGGCACTGGTGGCATCAAACATACCACCTGAGCCCCACCTTGGGCTTCGCTGGGCAGGTTGGGGCCTGACGGGGTTGAGGGGAAAAAAGCTCAGGTTTAGGGTTTAGGGTTTGGGGTTTGGGGTTTGGGGTTTGGGGTTTAGGGTTTATAGTTCCCTTCTTCACCACTTTTCAAAACCGTCGTTCCGCATCAGGTGCTGAATTCGGAGAACTTGAGACAGGTCCTCGGCCACATCATCAGCTGGTGCCTTGGCTTGTGGGGGCACTCTTTCCTTGGGCAGGGGCTGCCTGGCACCAGCTGTCCACGCGTAACACCAACCAGTGTCCGATGGAAGTTTCTTGGGGGTTCGTGGATGCTTCCGAGCTTGCAACGAGCTTGCTTGTGATCCCGGCGTCGGGTTGGATAAGTTTTGCCACCTCCCCTGCTTGAAGTTGACAACTACTCGGGAGTGGAAGCCACAAGAACCAAAGCAGGAAGAACAGGGGGTCTACCAAAATAGGGGACCATCCCCCTATAAGGACCCCGTAAGTTACCCCCCCCCCCTACTTTCGGAAACCTCCAAAATGAGTCTGGCCTTAGACGGGCAGTTCCCGCGCTGCTTGTAAGGGCTCTCAAGGAAATCTCGGGGCACTGGAGCCGGTGGGCTTCCTGAAGGACGTTGTCCAAAGCAACCGGTCCAGGGTCGGAGAAAATATGCCGGTTTGTCAACATGAGTGAAGCTTGGGTGGTGGGAGCCGCCCCCCAAAAAGATGCCGTGCTCTGGTTGCGAAGAAGGTTAGGATGTCCCCTCCCAACCCGGGTAAGCGAGCGAAGGATGCACAAAGTGCCACCCAGAGTTCAGCCCGCAGCCCTAAACCCGAAACCCTAAACCCTAAACCCTAAACCCACTTACCCGCTGAGTTTCGGAGGTGCGGCTTGGAGGCCCGAGACGAGGTGGCATGGGGCCAAGAGCCACGAGCCCTCATCGCCCAGGTTCTTGGTGAGGCCATCGACTCCTTTTGACTGCAAATGAGACAAAAAGACAAAGCAATGAAGGGTTTAGGGTTTAGGGTTTGGGGTTTAGGGTTTAGGGTTTAGGGTTTAGAGTTTAGGGTTTAGGGTTTAGGGTTTAGGGTGTAGGGTTTAGGGTTTAGGGTTTAGGGGCCAGTAAAGCAATGATGGCCAGATAGTACTTGTACATGATCTTACATGTACTTACGGTATCTTGCGGTTACCTGACTGTGCTGTGGATGCCAGTCAGTCAAAAGTTTGCGGTGTGTGGAACCTCGGATATCAAGCTGTAGCGACTTTGACGTTCCAGAGGTGTGAAATGGCTTCACAAGCGCATACAAGCATCAAGTCATGCACAAAGTTATGCTGCACAATAGGGCAGTCATCTGTACATAAACCGCCACTTTTTGAGAAGCGCTTCTTCTGGATGGGGCTCGGAAGGCTTGAACATGCCAGGATGATGGGGGGTCGGTGTTCGGGAGTCCCTCTCGGCGTTCCGCGTCCCCAGAACCAAAGGGGCCAAGGACTGCTTTGCAGCCTTGGCTTCCGACCTGTGTAAAGCAGTAGAAGGATCTTCAAAACGCTGCAAGGATTCGACTCGCGGCTTCTGGATTGCATTCTCAAGGTTCTTGTTGCAGCGTGTTGTAGGGGGCTTCAGTAGGGTGGTTAATGCCCACGAGATGACAGCTGTTGTGCGTAGATGAGGCGTAGACCCACTACGAAGAGTCAGAGCCATGAGCCCTTCCAGCATCATCTCGAAACCTACGCCTCAAACTTCAAGAAGTCAACGCCCCCAGAGATCCACGTCCCCCCCCGTGCCTGGAGCCATGGCCCCGGACATCCCGCCCAACCCCTCGGATGCGGCGGTGCGTCGGCTGCTCCGGCAAGCTGGCAGCAGGGGTTTGGGGTTGGCATGGGTTGAGCAAGGCTGTGTAATTTGATTGGATTTGGGGCAGGGTTTTCGGCTGTTTGGCGCAAGATTTAGGGTTAGGCCCAATTAGAAACTGAACCCTAGAACCCTAGACCCTAAACCCTAAACCCTAAACCCTAAACCTTAGCGCTAAACTGAGGAACCACCCGAAGATCCCGCCTGGGTCCGCCTACGCGGCAGAGCTCCGGGCGCTGGGCTTGGGGCAGCTGCCGATCCTCGAGTCCGACACATGGCCTGACAATCAAATTTGGGCTGGGGTTTAGGGTTTAGGGTTTTGGGTTTAGGGTTTCGGTTTAGGATTGTTGAATTCATAAGCCTAGAAGGACTTGTGTTAAGGGTTGAGGACTTATAGAGGGTTGCGGTCCGGCATGTCCATTGTACCGCTCACTGGAGTGTTAAGATAGTGAGAGATTGCACAGATGGCTGCCTCCGGTCGAAAGGCACCCAACAGCTGTGTCAAGAAGCTCCTACCTGTCACATTCTGATACGTGCAGGCCATGCACCTGAGCTAGCTTCGGAGATGATGAGTCCTAGGGGCCTGGCCCGCTCACAAGGGTGAGAGGCTCTGCTGGAGATGGTCTCCTCTTGCAACCTCACCCGGCCTTGACAAAGTTGCTACCAGATGCATGCATCGCATCAAAATCGTTGCGGAGCTGAAAAGTTGCAAGCTCTGAGCTCTGAAAAGACCTACGGCGCCTGGGTCGGCTTTGGCACAAGACTTGCGACCAGGAGTTAACTTCCTGATGCACATCGCGGGCTTTAGGAGCAATGTCATCCTGGAGGCTATAGGACTCAACCCCACTCTCGACTCCATAGGGCTGTCTTCTTAAGGAGAGAGCTGATCGCCCGAATGGCTCTTGCTATGTTGCCTTCCGTGATGTTCAACGTCTGCCCTGGCTATGCGACGAAGAACCTCAGGGCAGGGGAGCTGCAACTGCCACAGCTCCTCCGAGGAGAATCGGATTGGATTGACAAGTAAAAGCCCACCCAGTGGGATGAACAAGTCATCACCGAGCCCCACACGCCGAAAGCGAGCAGGAACGAGGTCCACCCCCACCCCCCCCCCTTGAGAACGTGTGCGTACCTAAAATCTTTCCAAGTTTCCTCGGCCAAGGAGGTGGATAAACCATGGGGCGGCTTTGCGGCACTCATATTGTTGGCATTGCTGCGAGATATATACATAACATATATATATATATATATTGTTATGCATATACATTTAAGTATAAATATTAAAGAGTTTAAAATAGTTTAAAAATAGACATTAAATAAAGACATGGCTAAATAAAAACAGTAGATACATGTATAAACAAAAATATACATATAGATACCGATATAAATCGAAATAGAGTTATTAAATATTAAGTAAGTAAGCCTTAAATCAAAACATAGCTGAATAATCACATCATAAACAACTAGAATTATACATATACACACACACACATATATTCTCTTTATGCACATATATACGTGGACCGGGGCTGGGTCTCCCGGGAAGTGTTGTAAAAGCCATCTGCGTTGGGCTTTTTGCTTGTGAGTTTCATGGTGTGGCTGGGTTTAGGGTTTTAGGGTTTAGGGTTTAGGGTTTAGGGTTTAGGGTGCTGTTGCTTGCGCCAGTGTACATGCCGGCCTTGTTTGCAGCGTTGCTTGCTCGATCTTGCTCGTCTAGACGAGATGAAGCCTCCGCGCATGCTCACATGCACGCACCCACTCGTGCCCGTGCACATGTTCACCCCTCACCCACCCACCTACCCACCCACCCACCCACGCACGCGCACGCGCACGCGCACGCTCACACTCACACTCACAGTCACACACTCTCACACACCTCACACATACGCTCAGACTCTCACACTCTCACACACGCACACACTCTCACACACACACACACTCTCACACACTCTCACCCGTGAAGGCATCGTAATTAAAATCATTCACGCGTCTGCCCTTCAGAGTGTCTGCATGCCAATCTGCCCTGTCTAGTCCGACAGCCCACCCGGACAAACCTTCAGCCATCTAGTCTAGCCCTAAACCCTAAACCCTAAACCCTAAACCCTAAACCCGAAACAACCCCAACGTGCGATGCCAAGGGCAATATCTGGAGGGGGAGCCAGCGGCCATGAGGGGCTATCCAGGTGCAGCGCCTGCGCACACAAGCTTCCCAGGGAGTCCAAGGACATGAGCTGCGTGCCATCCATCACGAGACTCATAGGGTTCAGGGTTCAGGGTTCAGGGTTTAGGGTTGAGGGTTTAGGGTTGAGGGTTTAGGGTTTAGGGTTTAGGGTCTAGGGTTTAGGGTTTAGGGTTTAGGGTTTAGGGTTTAGGGTTTAGGGCGCCAGTGGACCCATCCCCTTGACCAACTGAACCCAGTTCAGGCCTCTCAGGGCACGGAACTGGAGCTCCATGGGCTTGCGGCCCCTGGCCGGCTGAAACCGACACGAAGTCAAATCTGTGCATCAACTACTTGTAGGGCTTGTGAGTTGGGCAGCTAGGCCAAGACGGTTTAGGGTTTAGGGTTTAGGGTTTAGGGTTTAGGGTGGTTCAGGGAGGCCATGATGGACTTCTTCATCACACACTGGTGCGAAGCATCGCGAAGCATTGCGAAGCATTGCGAAGCAGCGCGCATGCTGAGATGCAACTTTGGAGGCTTTCCCCTCCGAGGTTGTTGCAGCGCTGCAACAGAAGCATGCCAAGTTTCCTGAGCGGCAGAAGTCCTGAGTTTGTGATTTCTGGCGTCACTCTTCCTTGCCACAGCTCCCCTAAGTCACTGCTGCCAGTGCTACAACATGCCAAGATCTTGCCTTCGCATGGGCCAGCGGAAGAAATCTCTTGCCCTAAACCCTAAACCCTAAGCCCTAAATCCTAAACCCTAAACCCTGAACCCTAAACCCTAAACCCTAAACCCTACACCCTAAACCCTAAACCCGTGGATGTGCATCGTGGCAGGGGCCGCCCCCTGGGAGCCCGAGCCCACAGCGCGACCGCAGCAGGCCCACAGAACAAGTCTCAGACTTTTCTCCACATTTTTGGGGTCGGAATAATTGTTACTAATATTCTTCCCTTAGGGTCCCTTTATGGTTATGCTGGAATAACCACCCCCCCCCCCCAAACCCTATTCTAATCATTCAGGCCCCTATATTGCGTTTCATCCTGTGTTTTTGTTCCATGTGTTTCTTCGTTCTTCAAGTCTTAGATCAGAGAGGAGTCCAAGGAGGCTTATGCCGGTGTCAGGCTGTTGCAATCAGACGATCGGTCAAGCTGTTCTCTGAAGCCTCCAGTGAGAGTTGCCTGCGAGGTTCCTTGGTGGAGCTTCCTGCCTGCTAACGTCTACGTGAGCCCCCTAAACCCTAAACCCTAAACCCTAAACCCTAAACCCTAAACCCTAAACCCTAAACCCTAAACCCTAAACCCTAAACCCTAAACCCTAAACCCTAAACCCTGGCGGAAGGTGGCTGCCAGTTCTTTTCAGATGCCTGTTCCGGAGATCACCATCCCTGACAAGGCTTCAGGGTTTAGGGTTTAGGGTTTAGGGTGTAGGGTTTAGGGCAAGGCTTCAGGGATACGGGAATTGCACTGAAGAATCTGCTTTGGGAGCGAGGCGCTTCGTTTTGTTTCGGCTAAATCTGCCGTGTGCATGCAGCTTCTGCTGGCTGAGCTTGTGAACACTTGCCTGAGTGTCGGCATGGTGCCAACATGTGCCAACCTTCACAATCTGAAGGGGCCTGGCCAAAGGTCAGGTTCATCCCTAAACCCTAAAGCCTAAAGCCTAAAGCCTAAACCCTAAACCCTAAACCCTAAACCCTAAACCCTAAACCCTAAACCCTAAACCCTAAACCCTAACCCCTAAACCCTAAACCCTAAACCCTAAACCCTTAGACCGCCTCACCAAGCGCAGCTCTGGCGCGCTGCCGGCAGGTTCCGCCGATTGCGGGTTTTTCCTCTCTTTCGCCGCCGCTTGGTGAGCAACGGTGCTGTTAACAGTTGCCTTCCAGGATGGGCTAGTATACCCTATATATCATCCCTTTAAAGGCCCTTTATTATACCCTATATATCATCCCTTTAAAGTCCCTTTATTTTGCCCTATATATATATATATATGATCCCGTAAACGGCCCTATTTATTATACCATATATATATATATATAATTCCTTAAAAGGCCCTTTATAGGGTTCATTATGAGGATTTTAAGGCCGAATAGCCGGTCCTGGTTCACACTGGGTCGCGATGCAGGGGGCATTCGGGTAGCAAGGCAGGGATGAGCTTGGGCTCTTTTGGGGCATTTTCGGGTTTAGGGTTTAGGGTTTAGGGTTTAGGGTTTAGGGTAGGGTTTAGAGCAAGGCCCCCTTGGGTCCCTCGAGCTGTGTGGGAGTCAAGCCCTTCATCCAAACCTGCCTCCCAAACCGTTGAGGCCCATGGCCAACATGGCCAACGTGGCCAACGTGGCCAACATGGCCAACATGGCCAACAGGGTACCTGCGCAATCGCCTTTGGCATCGGGTCCCGGCACAGACACCGCACGCCTCATGGCCCTGGACGCGGAGGTCGGGGGAGCTCAGCCTCACAAGCGCACGAAAGATGGGGGTGGATGCTCTCTTACTTTCAAAGAGGCCCCCCTAGGCCCCTTAAGTTGCCATCGCGAGCATGAGAGGAGAAGGCGCTTATGCAGGAGGTCTTGTCTCTGGAGCAGAGCCAGGGCCCTAGATGAGCCTCGCAAGTGCCTCGCTCAGAGTCCTTTTGTGAGCTTGTGAGCTTGCGAGCTGCTTGTGTTGTCAGGGGCCGCAGCCTTCGGACACAAGAAGGCAGACGAGCGTTGGTGTAAAGTACTGTAGCATCTTGTCGACTTAGCTTTCAATAGTTGGGGGTTTGCTTGTAGGGGGCCTTGCCCAAGAAGTGCACGACATGCATGGCATCGACCTGGGTGCGTGTAGGGGGGTAGTGCCTGTAGGTGCTCAGAGATGTCTCTCACAGAGCATACTTCAATAATCGTTACCTGAAGGTTCCGAGGGTGCGCATCCCGGAGGATGCGTTTTGGGGCCTTGATTTGCCACCACAGAATTCATATGAGCCAGGGTTTATATGACTGTTTCTGGTGAGTGTATATAAGGTTCCTGTCTAATATTGGTGAGTGTATGGAATTGGTGTCCTATGGGGGATACAAGGAATCTAAGCATTCCTGACGAGTTTGGGAATTTTCAATGTCCATTGTGGAGGAATGAAGCAGTCAGATTTCTGCACACAGCCTGCTAATTTCACACACACATCCCCTGGTCCAAGGTCCCAGAAATTCGCAAAACAAGCCACCATGGTGTGCACACGCTGGAAGGTGCCGCAGTCACCTAGAGAATCGCCACCCGCACGCAGCCCTGGCAGCCGAAGGTGCCATGGTTACGGCTTTGGGGCTGCTTTTGGGGCGTTTTGCATGCAACAATAAAGTTTCTGAAAAGCCGTTCGACGGAGCTTAAGTTCCACAAGTCAAAACTCCTCCAATCTCTCCGGTCCATCAGACTCCCCCCCCCCCCCCCGGGTCCAGGCGCCAGCTGCGACCACCGCAAAGCAGGGAGGAGAGCGCTGAGGCTGTGGAGAGCAGTGGAGTCTCCTATTTCGGAGGGCTGATTCCCAGGGGGGGTTATTTAAGGCATCTGTACCGATGGCAGGTTAGTTCGAGGGACTCATGACCCATGAGGGGATGTGTTCAGCCAGAAAGCTGAGGAATCTTGAACCCTGGCTCTGTATGAGGCTTTTAACTTTAGGAGCGCTCCACACTCCTGTCACGTGCTGCGCTTCGTCGTGTGCTTCAGGAAGAGGCGGAGGTCATCGACCCCACACCTCCTCGACCTGCGCCGAAGGCTCTCCCAGAAATGGGGGTTTACGAACATAGGGGGCCCAAGAAGGTAGCCCTATTTTCGGAAACCCCCAAAATGAGTGTTGGGACATCTCAGCAGTAAGTTGGAGTAGTTCTTGCCCTCCTGTTACGACTGCGCAGGGTGCAGCCGACACAGTTAAGCCGTCGAACGAAGAGAATCAGGATTCACAGCTCACACGGCCTTGGAGCCGCAGAAGATGCCAATAGCAGACTCAGAGCAGACCCAGCGCATGCAACAAACCCGGAGTTGAAGAACCAGTTCCTGGCTATATCCCCCTTGGGAATTATTTTCTGTTTTGTTTATATAAAGCCCAAGAGGATATTAAAAATACCATTTCTATTAAGGTTCTAGGGGAGTATAGCCTGGCTCTTCCACCCCAAATGAAAGCAGAGGATTGCATGTCAAGACATCACGCCCCATGAACAGACAGCGCCATCTTGAGGAATGCAGATGTGGGGGGTTTCCGAACATAAGGGACCCTAACCCTAAACCCTAAACCCTAAACCCTAAACCCTAAACCCTAAACCCTAAACCCTAAACCCTAAACCCTAAACCCTAACCCCAAGAAGGTAACCCAGAGATGCTGAGGTGCAAGAAAAGCTTGGTCTTTTGTCTCCAAGCATTGTCCAAGCTAGGCCTTTTTTTTTTTTTCGAGGCGGCCCTCCAAGGAACTATAGGGGGTTTTGGGGTTCAGGGTTTAGGGTTTAGGGTTTAGGGTTTAGGGTTTAGGGCTTGGGGTTTGGGGTTTAAAGGTTTGGTGGTGCAATGTGTGTCTCTCGGCTCTGGCCTCCGATCACACCTCGCAGATGTCTGTGATGTTATTCGAGCTGAAACTTCACGATCTTTGTAGTAACAGTCCTAATTTTAGTATTCATAATCGTTATTCCAGTAGGAATAAGAATAATAACACTAAGAATAACAACAAAGGTAACAAGAAGCACAAAATAAATAAGTAGCAAGGCAGAAGTTTGTCGGCTTCAAGTTGACGCGTCAGGGCGTTGCGCCTCCCCGAGCGGTCGATGGACGTCAGCCCAAGGCTTGGCGCCGCACGGGGAAGCTCAGAGCCCTGACATGGAACCCTAAACCCTAAACCCTAAACCCTAAACCCTAAACCCTAAAGGGTCTAGACCCTAGACCCTAGACCCTAGACCCTAGACCCTAGATTCTAGACGTGAAGCCCTAAACCCTAGACCCTAAACCCTAAACCTGGACCCAAACGAGCCCAACCCTTTGATCACGTGAATGAGGGTGAAGGCGCGTGAGGTGAACGGAGGAACCCCACAAAACTCATCAAAATGCAGGTTCCGCCACGACCGCCGCGACCTGGCCCGAGGTGACCCTGGCGTAGGGCAACGGGGAGCTTTCAGGGCGGTAGTAGACTTTTTAGGGTTTAGGGTTTAGGGTTTAGGGTTTAGGGCTTGTCCAGCAGTTAAACAAACCTGTGCAATGCCGGGTCTAGACAGTCGACTGAGCCACTTAGGCTTGGGATGTCAAGGCTTTCCAGGACAGACGTAGGTCTAGCATTTCTGGATTTCGGTGAAGGGCATGGAGGTATTCCCACATGTTGCAGCGAGCTGCTTTCTTGTCGGCTCCAGAGAGAGATGTTGGCTTGCTGCAGGTTTTGTGTTCTGTGTTCCTGGCAGGTCACCGTGAGCATCCGCGTAATGTACAGAGGGCATCCACTCCTGCATTGGGGAAAAAAGAAGCCGTTCTTGTTGATTTACCGGTTTAGGGTTAGGGTTTAGGGTTTAGGGTTTTGGATTCAGGGTTCAGGGTTTTGGGTTTAGGGCTTAGGGTTTAGCTGTTCGAGATCCATTCGATGCAGCCGCTCAAGCGAGTCTCCGTTCGAACTGCTGAAGTCTCCTTGGGGCCTCCCACGGGCGTCTTGATGTTGGAGCTTTCTGCGGTTTAGGGTTTAGGGTTTAGGGTTTAGGGCTTAGCCTTGCAAGAATACTCAAAACATGAACAACGTGAATGCAGGGCTGCTTGCAAAATGATGTAATTAGAGCGCGTCTGCAACGTAATACTGACAAGTAAGCTGCAAAGATTAATGCGGGCTAGCTATACGAACACAGTCATGGCCCGGTGAAAGACTCTGAAAGAATACTCCTTTTGGAAGTATATTTTGTTATTACTGTTACTAATATTTTATTATTGTTATTGTTATTGTATTATTTCTATGATGATGATGAATATTATCATTATTTATTATGATTATTGTTAACAGTTAACACACTCGTTTCGTGCACGCACGTAGAATGTATACTCGCAATGCACTCTGTGCAGGTTTCGGAACGCTGTGCATACCGCAGCCAAGCTAGGCAGGTCCTCGGGACGCCTGAGTGAAGTTCGGCGTACAAGCGCAATAAGTCTGCAGAAGCCCTGGTCACATGTTCACCAAGGTACCACATTTGACCTCAATGTTACTTTTCCAAATTGGCAGGCATCCCCGAAACCCAGCATAGTAGAGTCGCAGGCGTTATTTGAAGTAAAGCCCGTTAGTACTGTTGGAGCTTAGTAGACACCTTAGTAGCAGGACCCTTGCCCCGTGCGTGTGCCCCACATTGACCATCTCGCTGTCGCTCGCTCGAGCGCCGAATTCCGGTGCCATGGCCGATGCAGATGGAACTGCCACGAACGTCGAGATCTTACAAGAGAGACAAAAAGGGACACGCGAGAGAGAGAGAGAGAGAGAGTGAGAGAGCGAGAAAGATTCGCGGGGCGCTGCGTAGCGACTCATCGACCTGGCATGTGCACTTAACCTCTGGTGCGGTAGACATGCCGCAAACTGGTAGCGTTCATACGTGCCCCATAGGAGCCCCTGAATGCTGTGTCAACTACATTCCAGCTATGCTCTAGGCATTGATGCTTTTCGAGTCCGGCGACGTGAGGATCTGAGTTTCTTTCAGGGCACGAATTACGGCGCAGTCCAAAGAAACATAAGGAGGAACCTCTAGTAGGGACCCTGAACCTTGCTTGCCCTATACCCCCCCCTAATATATACCTTATATAGTCCATACATACCTAAGTAGCCCCGAAATAACCCTTAAATATCCCCTCTAAGCTCCCTTTAAGGGTCCCTCCTTCAGTCCCTTGACAGTCGCGTTGAGTCGCATTGTCCCAGATGGAGTTCATCACACGCACCTGAGCGCATGTCAAAGGCAAAGCCGGTCCTAAACCCTAAACCCTAAACCCTAAACCCTAAACCCTGAACCCTGAACCCTGAACCCTAAACCACCTCCTTGCTGCACCTGGGACTTCCAGAGTAGGTCGGAACTTCGAGCTTGCAGCGAAACACCCGAAGCTCTGCCCTGGCACACCCCAACTTCAGCCCTATATATTCATATTTTTAAATGTCTATTTATATGTATACTATATAAATAAATATATATATATGAAGTGTGTGTATATATGTATATATATATATATATATTTGTTTGTTTTATTTAATGGTGGGGATATCCGCAGCTGGTGAGTCTGGTGAGGTTGATGAAGACGCGCAGGCGGCCCCTCAGAACTGCGGTGTCAGGGTCTTTGTTTCGGCTGGGTGTGCTGCAGGGGCAGTCGAGGGTGTAGGGTTTATAGGGTTCAGGGTTTTAGAGTGTTAGGGTTTTAGGGGTTTTAGGGTTTTAGGGTTTTGGGGTTTTGGGGTTTTAGGGTTTTAGGGTTTTAGGGTTTTAGGGTTTTAGGGTTTTAGGGTTTTAGGGTTTAGGGTTTTAGGGTTTTAGGGTTTTAGGGTTTTAGGGTTTTAGGGTTTTAGGGTTTTAGGGTTTTAGGGTTTAGGGCAGTCGGTGCGGTACAGAGTAGAACATCATCTAATTTTTTTCCTTGCCCTTAATCCCCTATGTAATCCTTATAAAAACCGTAAGAATGGAATTTTTTATAAGGCGCCCCACATTTACCCCCCGTAGAGGTAGAGGATCATACAGGCCCCAGGATGAAGGAGCACCCACTCGGGATCATGATCCTTGGACTCAAGTCCGAACTCCGAACTTCGGGCGGATGGCCCAAGAATGAACCTAGCAAGCCTCCCGACATGTTACCCTTCAAGGGTTTAGGGTTTAGGGTTTAGGGTTTAGGGAGTATGTAGGGCACCTACTTCTCCCATTTCCTGGGCTCTTGCTGCTAGAAGTGTGGCCTTCTTAAGTGGAAGCCAGGCGGAGGAATCGACGAGAGATGTGGATGAGCTGCAGGCTGGGTTTAGGGTTTCGGGTTTCGGGTTTAGGGTTTAGGGTTTAGGGTTTAGGGTTTTAGGGTTTAGGGTTTAGGGTTTAGGGTTTAGGGTGTAGGGTTTAGGGTTTAGGGTTTAGCCCCCCCCCCCCCCCCCCCTGTCCCCACATGTCCCCATTCTGCCACCCTGCACCCTCAACCATAAACCTAACCTGGGATGGGAAGCCTATGGATGCCCAGACCTGGCCCCGCAACAGGCACCAGTTCTGCATATGGCCTGTGCTATGTGCAACTTGTCCGCATGGTGTAAGAGCCAGGATTCAGGACTTAGGGCTATTTAGGGTTAGGGTGGTTTTGGGTTTAGGGTTCTTAAGGGTTATTTAGGGTTCAGGGTGGTTTTGGGTTTAGGGTTTAAAGTTTCGGGCTTAGGGAGGGGAACGTATTCATGGTGCAGGGTTTTTCCATGTCTGCCGAGGGGCCCGACGACAGAAGCCTTGCTTTTGGCTTTGCAGCTTGCCACGACACGAGATCCGAAACAGGGCTTTTCATCTCTTGACGAACCCTGTGTGTAGCCCGCCCCCATCTACTCACGATGACAAAAGCCCTGTTCTCGGGAAGCCAAAAAACAGGCTTTGGCCTTCCTAACAGTTAGCTCCATACATCAAGCCCAGCTTTCAGGCACGAGATTTCATACAATTGCAATGCTGTATCTTGAAAACTCGGACTGCGGGACTGGGTTTCCTCGAAATTTCACCGACAGCCCTTGCATCCTAAGACAGGCCTCTTCGCGACGGTGCTGTGCATCATGACCATCGCTAGCGTGGGGCTTCTGGCACGGGAGCTCAGCATAGGGGGAGAGCAGTACAAGGTGAACTGCAGGGACAAAAAGGCAGAAACATTGGGTCATTCTGCGGATTGCACCATCTTGCACCACTACGTCAACAATGCAGTCAGTTTGAGTTTACGTCACGGACCTCGGAACATGTCTCGAAAGGGTGCCGAAGAGAAGGTTTGAGACCGCCTCTGGTTCTCACTGGTGAAGCCCAAGTCATTCAGAACATTCCATGTCGCCATGTCGGGGGAGCTCGCGGATAGACTGCAAGTTCTCCCATGAGCCCATGTGAAAGTCGATCCATCTCACCGTGAGACCCGTGAGACGAGTGAGAGCGAGAACGAGAGCGAGAGCGAGACTTGAACTACTGGGAGCCGTATAAGCTCGATACAAGGGTGTACCCCAATGTGTACCCAAGACGCTGACCGCCGGAGAGGCACCGGCAGCTGCCTCAAATGGAGCGCTTGTAGCTGAATCGAGGCCTACCTTGCCTATGAGTACACGCAGTACAGCTCGGCCTGCCCGGCTTGTGAGCCACGGGGTGAGGGTGGTGCATGTTGGTGTTCTCGAGTCAGGAACCAAACCTCTTTCGCAGGTTAGGAGCGTTCGTGACTTCCTTCTGCTGCGAAGCAGCTGCTGTGGCCTGCACCACTTGCAGTCGTCCGTGCCTATGTCATGGGAATCTAGCGGGATCGATCACGATGCATCTTGCTGAGCAACGAACCACGACCTCTACGACGCTCAGGATCTTGTGACACTCCCTCAATGGCAAATCTCAGAAATCAGTATCCTACACTGTTAACGTATCAACCCCCTGGAAATCCTGCGGAGGGCATGTTACCGCACAGTGTCAAGCTTCCGAGAGCAACCAGGACTACTGCGAAGTACCCTTGCAGCTCTGGGTGCAGGCCCCTCAAACTGAGAGGATGCTTACATACGGGCAATTACAATAGTAGGATGTTCCCCCTTATACCAACAGGCCTTCAAAGGGATTATTGTAGGAGGTACTATACCCCCAATTAAGGACGCGTCGCCCCGGCAGCCGGGCCAGCCCACGTACCAAGGCCCAAGAAATTCGAAAAACCTTTCGCAGGTCTGGAAGGTTTTCGGGGATGTGTCAGGGAGGGTTCCAGGGGGGTTTTCTCAGGAGGGGGGTCAGCAGCCAACCCATCCTCCAAGCGATCTGGGAAGTCCCACGAGGGGGGGAGCGCGTCACGAAAAACAGTGTGGGGAAGGGGGGAAGGAGACCGGATGCTGGTCTGCTTGTTCTCGACGCCTCTCGGCTGGAAGCCGAGGCGAATTTCCCACAATAGAAGGCGACAAAGTGAGAAGCCAGGAGCGAGTTTTCGGAATCAGGCTTTGATTCAGGCTTTGATTCTCAGGGGTATGATTACGAATCTAGGGCCCAATAGGGCGCAGGACGAGAGTTAACTTGGTGGGCAGCGGGCTTCAAAGCTACTGGCCTCAGGGTCCTCCGGCAGAAGGATGGCACAACGTAGCCCTCTCCCGGACACGGCTCCAATCTCCGACGCCCCTACAACTAGACAGCACTACATCTGAGAGGTGGTGTTCTTCACGGCCCTGTTCAACATCGTTTGTAACCAGCAAAACAGGCAAGGTCCGGGCGTTGGGATGTGGCGTTCAGTTTTCAGGAAGGCTTTTACCAAGATCAAATCGCAGTATTTTCGTGCCATCATACACAGTCGAAGCGTCTTTTCACTGATAAGGCCCCTTTGTCTGTATTGCTTGGTTGCCCTGAGTGGGTTAAGCAGCGCTTCTGGAAGAGGGTGTCCTTGACAAGGCTGAGGCTTCCGCTCTCAGTAGGCAAAGCCAGGGGTCCCCGCCGAGGGCTTCAGGGCCTGCCCTTTTTCAGTTTTGTGAATTCCTGGTCCGTAACTGAGAGCCCTTTCTACATCCGCTACATCTGAACCCTAAACCCTAAACCCTAAACCCTAAACCCTAAACCCCAAACCCCAAACCCTAAACCCTAAACCCTAAACCCTAAACCCTAAACCCTAAACTCCAGCTACAGCTGAATGGGCCTTCACTGCGGCTGCATTTGGTAACTCGTTCGTAGGGCACCGATGTATATGGCTCCAGGTTCACACGACCTCTGCTCCGATGTAAGAGAACCCCAAACCCCAAACCCTAAACCCCAAACCCTAAACCCTAAACCCTAGAGACCCTAAATCCTAAACCCTAGAGACCCTAAACCCTAAACCCTAAACCCTAAACCCTAAACCCTAAACCCTAAACCCTAGAGAGACGCGCATCCAGCCCCGTGATGCGAGGCACGGGAGCTTGGGTGCTCGGATCTTCTGCGGCTGGTCTTTCGACCCAGAGAACCCCGAGCGAATGCCTGCCAGGCTCCACGCACAAGGGAATACAAAGAGTGTAGGGTTTAGGGTTTAGGGTTTAGGGATTAAGGTGTAGGGAGTGCCACAGAATAATAATACAGGGGTCGGAACAACTACTATTCATATTCCCTTATGGTCCCTTTATCAGCATACTATAAGAACCCCCCCCCTCAAAAAGAAAAGGCCTATTCGAATTATTCAGGCTCCTAAATTAGGGGGACCAAGGCAGAGTCTCTCTTTCTTTTAGTTGTTTTTTTGTTTCTCCTTTTTTTTGGCTTTTCCGGAGTTGAACAAGCTTGACCGCTTGATACCTGGCTCTCTCTGCAAGCCGGCGTGTGATGTGCTTCACGTGAAGATGACGGATCATCTGGCATCTGGAGCTGGCACCTGTAGGACTCCATGAAGAAACAAGAAACCCCAAACCCAAAATCCTAAACCCTAAACCCTAAACCCTCAACCACCATCCGCTGCCAGGGTGCAACTCTACAACATGATTGTGCCCATCTTCACCGCCATCTGGCGGCTTGGCAGCACCGTGTCCTGCGGCTTCGGGTCGTGCACCTCAGGGCTTCCTGCCTGCACCCTGTCACCCCGAAAGTTTGGGGTTTAGGGTTTAGGGTTTGGGGTTGGTTTGGGGTTTGGGGTTTGGGGTTTGGGGTTTAGGGTTTAGGGTTTGGGGTGGAACAGGGAGCTTAAGGGGGGGCGTATTTTGGCGTTCTGGAGGAGCCCTGCTGTATCGTTTGCCTTGATGAGCAAACAGCAACACCTTGTTGTCTGCTTCGACAAGGCAGGGTTTAGGGTTTAGGGTTCTGTTTGGTCCCTCGTGTGCTTGTTGGTGAAGCTTCGGGTGCTCGTGGGCTTGTTGTCAAGTGAAGCCTGGGTAGGATGGTGGGAGCTGAAGGGTTTAAGGGGGTTTGAGGAAAGCACCCTTTTCACGTTTTCTTTTTGTTGCCTTCTCTATGCGAGACCGACCGACAGGCTTGCCCGCCCCCTAAGCCGAACTCCCCATCCAGTTGCCAAGACACCGAGGAATATGGTTGGTCTCTACTGGGCCTGCGCCCAAGATTCTTGGGGCATGAGAGAAGGTTTCTTGTTTCTTGAACTTTTGGCGCAGTGGCTGGTGGGCTTTAAGCAGATGCATGGCTTTTCGGTGCCGGTCTTGAGATGGCTGTCTTCGGCTTAGTTCTGACTTGGACTTGCGCCTAGATGCAGAGCAATCTACCTTTGCCAAGCTGCTCTCACTTTATGCCAAGGCCTTCAAGGCTTCTCTTGAATTCTAACACGCAGACACCTCAACGTGATGTCAACACGAACCCTCATCAGCCCCTACTGTCCTAGTCTCACGCCGTCCCAGGTCGGGCGCGCTCGGCGTCACATGCATGAGCATGATGAGCCGAGCGCAGGCATGGCGCTCAGCTCTGGCGGGTGTAGAGCTTCACCGGGTTGATGATACTATTCATGTGTAGTTGGCTGGGGGCCGCTTGGTGGTTGAAGATTTCAGATGTTTTGGCGGTGAGGTGGAGCGCTGCTTTCAAGATAAAAAAAAACCGCCTGATGTAGAACTTATGAAAAATTAGTAAAGCACATTGGACTTTTTTTTTTTTAATATATTGTTCTTGGTTCAGCTTTGAGAAGGCTTCTGAATCATCTGGGGCTTTTTGGCTTGCTGACAAACCAAGGGCAACTCGCAGCTTGGACGTCTTGAGACGTGTAGGGGTTATGGTTTATGGTTTAGGGTTTATGGTTTAGGGTTTATGGTTTATGGTTTATGGTTTAGGGTTTAGGGTTTATGGTTTAGGGTTTATGGTTTAGGGTTTAGGGTTTATGGTTTAGGGTTTATGGTTTATGGTTTATGGTTTATGGTTGTGGTTTATGGTTTAGGGTTTATGGTTTAGGGTTTATGGTTTATGGTTTAGGGTTTATGGTTTAGGGTTTATGGTTTATGGTTTATGGTTTATGGTTATGGTTTATGGTTTAGGGTTTATGGTTTAGGGTTTATGGCATCTGATCAGGGACGCCGCATGGTCTAGGTTCAGCCATAGCCACTAGCCTTCTGTAACTTCGCCCCTATCTGGTTCCGTATTATGACCTGTCATAGACTCTGTTCTGCCTGCTCTTGGCAAGGCCCCGACGCTGCATTTTGAAATTTGGATTGACAACGACCCTCACATAAGGTGCAACGAGCAGAAAGAACATGTCAAAAGTGAGTTACGAGTTGTCCCCAAACCCCAAACCCCAAACCCCAAACCCCAAACCCCAAACCCCAAACCCCAAACCCCAAACCCCAAACCCCAACCCCAAACCCCAAACCCCAAACCCCAAACCCCAAACCCCAAACCCCAAACCCCAAACCCCAAACCCCAAACCCCAAACCCCAAACCCCAAACCCCAAACCCCAAACCCCAAACCCCAAACCCCAAACCCCACACCCACCCCAAAATAGCACCAGCCTGAAATCCGCAGGGAAAAACAGCACGCTTCCGGCTGTGGACGCGGACGCCAGCGACTTGCCGCGGTGTAAGGAGGCACAGCACGGCGCTGCGAAGCAGACTAGGATTTCGGTTTAGGGTTTGGGGTTTAGGGTTTAAGGTTTAGGGTTTAGGTTTTAGGGTCTAGGGTATTCTGAGGGGAGCTTGGTTTGAAGAAAAAAAGAACTGAGGATGATTGGCCAAGCTGAAAATAAATTGGGGGGGTTACGCAGATGTTAGACACGAACCATCGGGGCCCACCAGGCCAGGCCAGGATGTATTGACAGCCCCCTCTTAAGACAGAAGCTCCAGCACGAGGGTGCTGGCGCGACACGAGATCTACCGGTGGGTGTAACTAACCCTGAACCCTAAATCCTAGACCCTAAACCCGAAACCCTAAATTTCAGAAATCTCTCTAGCCAGACGGGAGGTCGCTTCTGGCCTTGTAGCTGCCATCCACGCCTATGACCGGAGCTCGGAGCGGCTTTTGGATGAAACTGCTTACCACCTTTTGCCGCCTTAGTTGGCTGTTGTACCTTTTACCTGTGCTCCTGTACTTGCGATCCGCAGCCGCAACTGTGAGCCGCTTGCCTCAAATTCCCAGCAAGGCTAGCTTCAATCTCCTCTACTCCTTCTTCATCCTCATCGGCGTGGCCGGCTTGTCCCAGCGCCTCAGTACCGGTTTACAGTTACAGGCAGGCAGAGAGAGAGGGAGAGAGAGAGAGAGAGAGCGAGCGAGCCAGCTTCGCGGAATCTTTTAAATGGAAAATATATCTGACTGAGTCTCTCTCCCTCTCTCTCTCTCTCAGCTCAAGAAGCCGAGGATCCTTTTCTGGCTGGCGAGGCGAGGCCTCATCCGGATGAGCCCCTCGGCTCCTGACTCGTAAACCGCTTGCAGACACACTTTACAAGTGTATACGTGCCTCAACTCTCAACCACTTGCGAGAGCTCTCAGCCACACTCTCCCGAACCTTGCATCTCTTCACTTCCTTCAGAGCTCCCAAGCTGAGATGATGCCGCCCCACCGGGTTCCTTGGAGCGGAATACGGAGGCGCGCTGGAGGGACCACAAGTGCAGAAATGGCGCGGAATGCTCGCGTGCAATTTTTGTGGAACAGATATTGGATGACATCCGATGGCCGATCGGAGATGTAATCGAGTCCCCCCAAGCTTACCTTGACCCAGTGCTGAGTTGCGCCCGAGGCACGGCCTCAAGCCGCCAACCAGGGCACAAGAACTGAAACCCTAAACCCTAAACCCCAAACCCGAAACCCCAAACCCTAAACTGGCCCTAAACCCTAAACCCTAAACCCTAAACCCTAAACCCTAAACCCCACTGGAAGCTTGCAGGTCGTGACCTTGGACGATCCCGCCTTTGTTGAGCAGACGCAGTGCTCGATCTGCCTGGAGGCGAGTGCCCTACCGACATGAAGGGCCCAGACACCCCTAGGGTTTAGGGTTTAGGGTTTAGGGTTTAGGGTTTAGGGTTCAGGCGTATGCTGTGCCCATGCATGCCCATGCACAGATGTAAATTCTCGTACGCTCCTGATGTTTGATATTATGGAGGGTTGCCAAAATCGTCTCCGAGGATTTGAGGACTTGAGGAAAGCCGGCACTGGAGAAAGACCGCAACCCTAAACCCTAAACCCTAAACCCTAAACCCTAAACCCTAAACCCTAAACCCTAAACCCTAAACCCTAAACCCTAAACCCTAAACCCTTAATAAAATGGGCAGCTCCGTGAGTCCAGCCTGTTTGCCAGGATTTCGCGGCGGGTGACGTGCTTGTGAAGACGACCCGCGCTGAGGGATTTCGAAAACTCTTTGGGGCTGAGTACAGAACGAGGTGCTTCCATAACGGCTCTGGGGAAATCTGCAGGCCCCAAGATCTGGATGGGAAGAGATTTCAAGGAGACTTCGAAACCTCCTCAAGCAGATGTTAGGGTTTACCGGATTCCACTGTGCTTCCTGGCCTCTGCCAAATTCGCGAAGGCGAGGATCAGCCAAGATCCTGTAGAGACTGTATGGAGGCAGCGATTTCCAGTGTGTATGGAGGCAGCGATTTCCAGTGTCACCCTGAAGTAGGCTGAAGTTAGCTCAAGTTAGCTCCTTCCAGGGAAGGGCCTTTTGTGGGTGGTGAGAAGCCCGGCCCAGGAAGCAGTGCGGCCATGTCTTTCACAAGGCGCCGGCCCGACAGGGTGGATTCGTGGATTAATGGGGGTTGACAGGCTTGATGGATTCAGAGTCCAAGGTTTCCAGGGGGGGGGGGGGGAATCATAAAATTCACCCTACACCCTAAACCCTAGCCCCTAAACCCTAAACCTAAACCTAAGCCATCACGACTTGTGAGCTGCTCACTATTGCACAGCGAAGAGGAGTGCTAGGGAGCGCCGATGGATGATTCCGGATGCGCTCTTGGATGGACTTGATTCCCGACCAGCGAGCTACTTGTACCAGTACCAAGTACCAAGAAACCAGCCAGGATGAAGAGCAGCAGGAGAATTGTGAAAGCACTGCGCATGGGCTGGCCCAGGATTGGTTGGAGAGATCCTTTCCGCAAAGTTTGAGGATGATCGCAGTTGCCCCACTTGCCGCCCCGAAGACGAGCTCGATGCAAGAGTCCAGCCGCTCTTGCCGCCGTCGCCTAGTGCGGACTCTTGCGACCCGAGCTTGCAAGCTCGGTTCAGCGCCTGCCGTCCGGCTGCCTGCTGAGTTCTCTTCAGCAGATGTCACAAACCACCCGAGAGGAAGTCAAGAAAAGCCTCCCGAAGTTCAGCCCCCAGCCCCCAACCCGTCTCACGAGCCTAGGCCCCGAGAGGCTTTGTGCCCTAACCCTCCATTTGAAACAGAGCAACTCTTCAAGTTCTGCTGACTCCTGAAGTATCCAAAGTCGCTACCGGCATCCAACATCCACGAACCTGCTGCCCAGGAAAACCGTACCTCAGTCGATCACGAAAGCCCTCCCCCGGGACCCTAAGACCAAATGAGCCCGAAACTCGCCAGGAGCACCTCGCCAACTGGCTGGGCGTCCACAGGCCCCCCCCCAAAGCCCGCTGCACCCTAGACAGCCCTTCAATCCAAGAGCCGCTGCAAAAGCTGCAAAAGCCGCTAAGTCGGAGTTCCGAAGGTTCCGACAAAATCACGGGGACACCTCGTTCGGGTTGGAGGTAGCGGCCGCATCATCGGGACGCACAACTGTACGCACATATTCCAGAACAATAAAGATAGGCACATGAAACTGAAGTCCGAAAGCACATAAGCCACATTGCCTGTATAGATTTGGCCTGCGTAAGGAAGCGTTTTCAGCCGGCTTCTTCAGGTCCTTGATGCTTTTTGACTTTGAGAGATTGCACAAACATCTCTTCATGGCACATCAAAGCAAAACCGAAGCAAGACCAGGGCCTTACGAATTGGGGCCTGAAGCCTTAAATTCCAGAGCCCGTCCTCTTGCATTGCAAGTCAATCTCTTGATAAGCGTTGAATCGGAGGACCTGCCCCCTTTGCCGGACAGATTTAGGCGCGGAGCTCGCTGATGTGTGTGGTAGGGCTCAGTGCTCTTCGTGGTATGGGCTCCATTGCGGGCTTCAACTTGAGTGAGTGAGAGAGTTGTACGCAGCAAGTCTAAAGCTTAGGGCACATTGTTTCGGCTCTCGGTATTGAAGGATACTGCAATCCCTACAAGCCGTTCAGCCCCCAGCGATGGCGGCCCTAACCAGGTCGTATAACGGCGGAGGGAATTCTGGGAATGTAGACTCCGGTAGGTTCACAGGTTGGTCACCGGTGCAGCATCCATCGCAACAGCAGTCTGGTGGCACAGACGGGGCTCGTCATTGCAACTTCTGGCGGCGGGATGGCAGCTGTAAGCATGGAGACTGTTGCAAGTTTCTGCACTCCGAGTCACTCAACGTCACAGGCATGGAGACCAGGGCATGTTCATTCTGGCGCAATGGTACTTGCAAGTTTGGCAGGAGCTGCAGGTACTTGCATACAGATGTGAAGAAAGCTCCCTGCAAATCTTGGGAGAGTAGAAGCGTCTGCAGAAATGGAGAGGAATGTCGGTTTGAGCATGGAGAGCTGCCCAACTGTGCGCAGTTTTTGGCGGGGAAGGGGTGTCGCAAAGGTTGCAATTTCAAGCATCCAGCGCCAAACGGAGAGGTGCCACTGTGTGGAAAATTGGTGGCCGGTTTTCAGTGCAGCGAAGGCTGCAAGCTCAAGCACCCAACTCCGAGGCTGATCATGCTGCACGTGCGCGGCATATCCGGGGTGGAGCTTCTGCGTGACTTCAAGATCTCGGAGTTTGAGAGGCTGGCCACAATGTATAACCTCATCGCGGAGAAACTGCCGGGTGAAAAGCAGTGCTTGGAACTCCTTCATGGAACTGAACGCCTGCACTGGCTTGACACAGCGTGCACGGCAAGCCTATCTGACGGAGACGACCTTACCGCAGTTGTTGGCTTCTTCTGCATCGAGTGTGGAGGCAACCACGAGGTCCCAGAACCCACCTGCTATCACCAGGGAATTTCGCAGAACACGCCCGGGCGGCGTGGTGGGTGGGTTCCCCCATATGATGGCATGTCTGGCAGCTGGAATTGTTGTGGGTGCGACGATGAATCCAACAAGTTGTGTTCCAATCACTACAGCAGACTTTGCTCATGCAGAACTGATAATGCATGACTGCAGGCCTGTCAAAGAAGCGTCTGCCTGCCAACAGCTGGGTCTTCATGATCTGCTTCCTCCTAGAACTCTAAAGCTTTTTGTAGGGTTTAGGCGGTGTATCAGTGCAGCTTTTCTCTAGATTTACGAGCGCACTGCGTTCGCGTAGCTTAGTAAACACCTCACCCGGAGTATTGCTTCTCGACGGTGCCAGGGTCGAGTTTTAGGTCGAGCTTCGCTGCAAGACCTTGAATCAGTGGAAAACCCTACTGCCAGTACCCAAGCATGCCCCCCTACCCCATTGAGGGTAGTTCTCTACCCTTCTTGGGTCCTCATGACAAGGGTATAATAAGCTGAATGAAAAATTATATATATATATATATACACATATCCATACATATATATATATGTATATGTATATATAGAGGACCCAACAAGGGACCTTAATTCAGAAAACTACCCACGACAGGAATTCAGGGGCCGGCTCGGCCGGCCCCATCGGACCCCTGAGATCTGCGAGACGACGCACAGCGCCGAGACCGCAAACTGCAGGGCTTTCGACGGCCCTTTCGAGTTGTAATTACCGGTCTGGAGGTTTAGGGTTTAGGGGTTTTAGGGGTTTTTGGGGTTTTTGGGGTTTTTTGGGGGGTATTTTAGGGTTTTAGGGTATTTCAGGGTTTAGGGTGGTTAAGTTCATTTGGCTGGATGACCTGCAGGCACATGGGATTCACACCGCTTTTGTCTTGCCAAGCCTGTAGACGAGCATGCGCATGCTACCTCTCAGATTTCGTTGCCCCCCGGTGACCCTACTGCTCTTGCAGAAGCATGGCATGTCCCCGACACCATCGCCAAGAGATGCTGTTAGAGCTGGGGGGCCCATGAGAGGAAGCAACTCTATTCCCGAGCCAGAGAGAATCCGCCTCCGAATTCAGGAAATGAGGGGGGGGGACATTTGGGTTGCACGTTACTGTACCCCCCTCCCCATCCCCCCCTTAAGTGGAAGCCATGTGTAGACTGGCCACGGTCTCCAAACTTCCAGCGTCCATGTCAACGCAGACCCCCCTAAACCCTACGTAAACCCTAAAAAAACCCTATAAACCCTGTAAACCCTATAAACCCTTAACCCCACTCGCCTCCGCAACTGAGGCCAAAGGCCAGCTGCCATGGTTTGGCGGACCTGAGTGGTGTGTGTACTTTGAACCCTAAACCCTAAACCCTAAACACTGATAAAGAGCTCTGCCGGCACACTTAAACCCCGCACCCTCTGTTCCCCAAAAGCCCCCCCAAGACAATTTGTCCCTAAGCCCTAAACCCTAAACCCTAAACCCTAAACCCTAAACCCTAAACCCTTTGGCCCTCTTAGAGGCATTGTTTCACAAACTCTGCGGGCCACTGCTGCCTTCTCCCTGGACGCCCGAGGCGCAGATATCCAGGCAGCTACCACACGAGTCGTCTGCGATTTAGGGTTTAGGGTTTAGGGTTTAGGGTTTAGGGTTTAGGGCAAGTCGCCTCAGGGTGACTCTGCATCAGGCTTCTAAGTGCCAGTGTACAAATGCGCGTCATTGAAAAGAAGCTTGCGCTTGGTTAGACTTCCCGTCACGCACACACACACACATATATATATATATATATATGTACGTATGTATATATATATATATATAGAGAGAGTACTATATTCGAATTAATACACAATTCAAGCTTACTCGTATGCGTATATGTAGTTTTTTACTTGCGGCCCCTACGCCCTTCGCCGGCCATTGCATCATGTGCCCGCAGTCATGTCAAGAGTAATCGGTTCTGCTGTTGCTATGATCAGGCGGCCCCAAATATTTAGGGCACCCAAAACGGGACCATCATTTCGAGAAATGACCATTTTTAGTTTTAGGTGGAATATACGTATATGCACTTTCATGTCTTGTTTCATTACAGTCAATTCTAATTCTGGACCTTCAGGGCCTTGCAACTTTGCCTCCCTGCACAGCGCCCTTCGACGCCTGTTTCTGTCTACCGCGTGGTATAGAGTATACCCTAAACCCTCAACCCTCCGGACCCAGAAGCCCACACGGCCGGGCGCAAAAGCACAGCCTTCAAAAACGAAAACCACCACTCGACGGCCTGGGAGTCGGCAGCTCCGCGCAACAGTGGCTCTCCTATTGCTTGCACAAATACTTGGTAGCCCAGTGGTACCCTTTTTCCCTTTTATTTTTGTTCAAGGTTCCCTTATAACGTAACCAACCCCAAAAAGGGTGCCCTTAGTATGATATGGATACTGGGCTACCAAAAATACCGCTTCACCATGGTGGAGGCAGCTTCTGGTGGGTGGTGCGGGCAATTGACCCCACGGTGAGGCCTGAACCCTGAAGCCCTAAACCCGAAGCCTCTACTTTGAGGTACATGGTACTTATGAACCAATTATAACTGCATGAATAACTGTACTTATAACCATATTAGGGCACTTAAGGGGCGTATAAGTGGGTTACAAGTACAGTGATGATTCACACGTGCTAGGCTACTCAGGCAAGCTTGTGGATCAAAATCCTAATCCAAGAAAAGGGAACAGCAAGCCAAAATAATCTTCTTGCAATCGCATCCCGAAAAAGTCCCTAATTACAATCCTCACCAAACTCTCCTTGGGCCTGGGACTTGGGCGTGGCTCCCCACCAGAAGCTGTTCTCATCCGGCGAGTTGTCTCAGTGCAACAGGGCATGGAGTGGCTTTGGATCCTTCGTAGTCCTCGGTAGTCCGAATTCTTGATTTCTGGGGCTGCAAGACGCCGCAAAAAGTGTCGTGAGCATAGCACCCCTCGGTCCCGTGCAAACCCGAAATGATCGTGAGAGATTCTAGTTGCTGTCGCTACCAGATATTACGTTACGTCAGGTTTCTGGAGCCATACCATGGTCCTACTGCGAAGGATTAGATGATCTGGCTTCTATTCTATAGTGTCTGGTTTTGGAATTGAGGATTTCTAGTTCATCCTAGCTGCCGCGAGAACCTCCCAACAAAGTAGCTGGACTTTGGATGATCTTGAGAGCCGCCGGAAAAGTTTCGGCCAGGTAACCAGGGTTTAGGGTTTCGGGTTTAGGATTTAGGGTTTAGGGTTTCGGGTTTCGGGTTTAGGGAGCCATACCGAAATGCACCTTCGGAGAGTCTCGTGCCCTGAGCCTTTTATTTTTGCGATGCAGGGCCACGAGAATCCTCAGGAATTCTCAGGACGCTGCTTCAAACTGCTTACAGGGTTCTGCTCTCTTTTGAATGTACACATCCATGTGTAATGAGCAAGCGGCTTAAGGGCTGTGATCGAGGTCTCTGATAGATTCAATCAGACGCGTTAGCATATTTTGAGCTTGCAGGTTTGGGGTCTCAGAATGCGGCCGTGCCAGGACAACTCATGACGAGAATAGCGCGCTGCAATCCAAACAGTCCCACGATTTTCGTGAGTGCCAGTGCGTGCCCGAAGGAGACAAAGGGCGTGTGGCTGCTGCGTATACATGCTTTTGTTTTTCCACGCGCCACCAATCACGGTATGTACCTTATGTACAGGCGAGCCTTTGCTCGAGGTTACTGTAGTAACCCTAAAACCTAAACCCTAAACCCTAAACCCTAACCCCTAAGCCTTGAACCCTGAACCCCATGGTCGCATAGCCGCCATAGCCGTACGAGGTGCCCTAAACCCTAAACCCTAAACCCAAAACCCTAAACCCTAAACCCTAAACCCTCCACAAGCTTTCGATGTGGAGATCATTTGCCAAGCCCCGAGCCTTGCCCTTCGCTGCCTGAGCCCTGTACTCAGAGCCCTTAAGGTCTTCAGGGTTTATAGGGCTAGGGTTTATAGGGTTTGTAGGGTTTATAGGGCTTATGGGGTTCATAGGTGCTTTAGGGTTTATAGGGTTTATAAGGGTTTATAGGATTTATAGAGTTGAAAGGGTTTTTAGGGTTTATAGGGTTTACAGGGTTCGTAGGGTTTATGGGTTTATAGGGTTCTTAAATTTACAGGGTTTGTAGGGGCTTTAGGGTTTAGGGTTTAGGGTTGAGGGAGGCTTCTTGCTTGCCGAACCTTGAAAGCCCCCCCCCCGCCCCCCCCCCCCGCAGGGAGCGAGCAGGACGCGAGCGGAAAGGCTGTGGTCTTATCTCGCAAAAATGGGGGGTGAGTAATAGGGGGTTAGGGTTTAGGGTTTAGGGTTGGCTTAATGGGGAGCTGGAAAAGTTAGGGGTGGTGAGAGGATGTTGAGGGCTCCGGGATGAAGGGTTATGGGGCTTAGGGCCTCGAGGTTAGGGAGTTTTCTGCTCGGTGGACAGGGAGGGCACCTTCGTTGACTTTACCCGTCAAGTACGTGCACCGCTCAGCGATAAGACATAATAAGACTAGAGTATACTATAGCAATGCTATAGTATACTCACGTCATACTATATAGTATACTATACTTTCGTAAATCAGGGCAGAGTTGAAGGATTGCGGGTGGGTTCAGGGCGTAGGAAGCGAGAGCGAATTGTTTGGCATTGGGGATCAGTGTTTTTAGGCCCAGGGCCGTTGATCATAGCAGCCATAGCAAGAGATCGAGCTGAGTCATATGTTACGACAGGTGAGCCTGTTTGTCTAGCTCTGGCACCTGCCAAAGAAGATTTGCCATGTTTAACTGATTTGCTATTTGAGGGTGTAGGGTTTGTGAACCAGCGGCAACACATCCTCAGGATCTGCTGTTGCAGCCACAGTTGGGCATGCCATGGCACTGACCAAGGCAGCAAAGGTAATCCTGTCTTCAGCGCTGCTCTTGGCGTCTTACCTGAGCGGTGCATCGCTTCATGTTGTAGACGGTCCGACCAGGAAGTCTGGATCAAAGGTGTTGGACATCCACGTCGCTTCATATCGCAGGGGACTGATTTGGAGGTAGATCGACGTTGCGCCCAACTTACAGAGTGGTCGGCCTGTTGCAGTATCTGAGAACGAGACGCTTCAAATCTTGACAAGGGTAACAAAGTCTATCCTGGCTCTGTCGCTCTTGCCGTGGCTAGCAGGCTGTCAG